TGCAAAGGTAGCGACAGCTCTGTTGTTAAGCAAAAGATCAGAGACAAAGCTGTCCTGACCCGAACGTACCAGTTTAGGTGGCAGTAAATGCCCTAGCTAGAGCCCACACTTCCTTACATGTGGTGAGTTAGCACCAGAGAGCACAGATGATCTACTTTTCTGACTTGGTACTGATCACGCAATGTATTGCTTTCATCTAAAACAGTTCCATGCTATTTCTGAACTTTTATATGATCGATCTTGTTTTGTTTAGATTGGCAGATATAAAGCCCCTTTCCACCAGCTAAGAATATCGTATGGTACCAATAAAGGGAAGAATTACACTGAAGAGGAGGATCGCTTTCTAATCTGTATGCTTCACAAGCTAGGATTTGATAAAGAAAATGTCTATGATGAATTAAGACAGTGCATCCGAAACTCCCCGCAATTCAGATTTGACTGGTTTCTCAAGTCCAGAACTGCAATGGTATGTACTGCTCTGCTTTGCTTTTTGTTCGTGAATGCCCATGGCACCACACCAGGCTAATGTAATTAATAGCTAATTAAATATAGGAATACTGCAGTATGTGCGTCTGTACAGCACACAATTTTTATAGACTTCCCTCTACAACTGTAGAGGATGGCAAATGCAGTAAACCAAAAAGTCCAAGGTACCATTTTTCAAAATCAACATGAATTTGATTTAAATATGTTTATAAAAAGCAAACATCTGTGATCAAATCTATTCCTGTGAAGCCAGCCAGCAACTATAAAAAATACATTTCATTCCTTTTTCGCTCTGCCAAGATACAGCAAAAAGCTTACCTACTTACAGGCATTCCTAATATGATTTTTATGTTAAGTGGCTGCCTAATATAGTGAGTATCTTGTGTGATTTAGGAGCTGCAAAGGAGATGCAATACTTTAATCACCCTAATTGAAAGGGAAAACATGGAACTGGAAGAAAAGGAAAAGGCAGAAAAGAAGAAACGTGGACCAAAACCATCTTCGGTAAGATTTGAAAAGGCATTTCTGTGGAAGAACTCATGTGAAGACAGGGTGCTTTTCTAGCTGTCAAGGAAGAGCAATATCTAAAGTTAAAGTTCTCTATAAACAACAAGAAACCTTCTAGGGCAAGGTTAAGGGCTGCATAAAGTTCATGCTGTCATTCCACTAGTACAGCTGTGCATATCTACAGGAAAATAAGTTTAGGTTCTAACGTGTAGCTCACACGCTTTGGGTCACCGAGTTGGTACCCTAAATAGGTGGTTTACCCTGATAAAATAAACCAGAGATTTGGCCTTTTGATTACTTCATACCCCTAAAGAAATGGCACGTTTACCCCTGAGGGATACAGAGGTGATGCAAACCACTCGTTGCACCCTGACAATGCTACAGGTCCGTTCACGAGTGTTCCCAGGTAGACTCTGCCATCGCTGTCCTTGTATGGGGGGCAGGCCATGAAATGGGCTTCTAGAGCTCAATTTGAGAAGACAGCCCGTAATATGCTTGACTACTCTCCTCGCTGACTACGCAGGCCTGTGTCGTAAAGGAAATACCAGCTCTACCCATTTTCTTGCCAGGATGTGGTGTTCAAGTTGTTGCCTAGAACTAGGGTTGTACCAAAACCTTTTAGAAGCACAACTTACATTGCAGAATTGCAGAAATCGGTAAAGAGTTTCTTGGACTATTCAAGTGCACAGAATATTTAAACAGGTAGTTAGAAATACCATTTCATAAATAGGAAGCTTTGTCAGATTCTTACTTGGTTCTATAGACTTTTCGGTAAAGAGTTTCTTGGACTATTCAAGTGCACAGAATATTTAAACAGGTAGTTAGAAATACCATTTCATAAATAGGAAGCTTTGTAAGGTTCTATAGACTTTTTACCTCTACGAAATCGTACTCTTCCGGAATTGGAAGAATCCAAAACGACAACTATCCTGTTTGCCCTGTGACAACGTTTGCAATTTATCCCATTTTCACGCTGCCAGGGTGTAAATCGTCTCCATCTGCTTGGGCTTGAAATGCTGTGCTTGCTTACAAGCTTCTTGTATCATGCTAACTTACTTATTAAAAAACTTACCTTACAGGCACAGAAACGCAAAATGGATGGTACTCCTGATGGCCGTGGAAGAAAAAAGAAGCTAAAGCTGTGAACGCAGAATTTTTGTAATCACTAAATTTAAAAAGTAGTTCTTTAATTTACGGGTCTTCATAAGATGTACTGTATAATGCTCAACTATTATGTCATTAAAGGACATCGGGTTCATCTGTTTACTGAACTAGAAACATAGTACTTAGTTTCACTTTTTTAAATGCAACAGCTGTGCTGAATTTTTTTTACCATTAACACTTGAAGTAATAAATAGGCTTCATTTATTAATAAGGCTGCACGTGACTCTTTTCATTACAGTTTCTACTGGAATACCTCTATGTATTTAGCCATCCCCCAATTTTTTCCCTCTTAAGGTATCGTGAACACTTTTTCCATTGCGACCACTAAAACAATTTAGTTGCATTTTCTTGTTACAAGCCACCTGCAGTGAAACCCCGATTCAGTGGCTCTGACCTTACCTTTATTGAGCTTACTTCTACTGCACAAATACACTCTGTTCTTTGACATCAGTGGAAAGGCCAGGTATTTACCTCAAGAACTAATGATTGACAGCCATACAGATCAGAACAAAAGGATAACGTTTTCCTGCTTAAAACATGTGCCGGAAGAAAGGTAAGCCAGTCAGTTGTGCTGAGATTTGTACTCAATTAGAATGGCCTAAGAATGGCAGAATTGGTTTTATTTGCAAACAGCAACACGTCGGAACAGAAAGCGTAACACGGTACGTAAAACCAGCCCCCTTCTCTCAAACAGCCATGGTGAATGCAGAGGCCTGATGACTGGGAAGAACTGGTGCTGCTTCTGGGGGTAACTGTCCATCAGTTCACGCCGTTCACGCTGTTCCTACGCCGTCCTCTCCTTTTTGTGTATTTGGCATATAATGACAGATGAAATCAGGTGTTTCTCAAGGCCGTTATGTAGCATGATTTTGTCATTTTCTGGGGAAAAAAAACCTCAAGAAAACAGAACAAATGCTCAGTTTGCATTGAGTAATCTTTGCTCACTTTTGGCCCTTTTAAGAACACGTATCAAACAGAGAGAAATGCATTTCCTAGGAAAAAACATCTTTTTGGAACTCAAGCAAAACAAGACTTGAGAAAAAGCTGAGCATCCACATACGTGCGTTTTCCGTACAGCAGTACAGTTCTCACTAGTACATTAAATGACTTTGTATTTGCAGGTGACCAACACGCAGGCACTAGCTGAAAACAGGTTGAGTAACCATACTTTGCTGTACGTACCAAGTTCTTTGTGAAGAGCAGAGTTAACATACGAGTTGTAATTATCCTGGCAGCCCTAGAAGAAATACGTCGTAACTGCTTACACTTAGCATACCCTAAACAGAAATGCTGCAGTGCTGAAGCCAGCCTTTAAAAGCATCCCTTTTCACAAAACAACAACCAAACACAACCAATTACGCACAACAAGCCACAGTTGCTTGTTTACAACTAGCCTAAAGGAAAACCTTTAGAGGAGGTGTTTTTTTTTTAGCAGAAGGGAAAGATGTACTAAATGCTGAGCAGCACTTCATTTGTGCTAATGATTCTCAAGTGCCAGTATGCAGAAAGCAAACATGATGAACTAAACCTTCATCTCCCAAAGGGCAGCCCCTACGAGTTACAGAAAATCCATTTTCTTTCAAGTAGAAGTAAAAAAAGCAAAGTATTTGCTCTAGATGATACAAGTGTGTTCCCCCAGTGCCAAATGGCAAAATAAGCTACCTTGTAACATCCCTATCAAGCACGGGAAGATAGGCGATTGCTGTACAATATGGGAAAGTGGTCACTAGTAGTGCTCTGAAGTACTAGAGCCTGGCTTAAGCGTGGTTGAAAGCACTTAATGCCAGCACCTAAGCATTAACATACTATTTTTCTAGTGTGGCTTTACAGTATAGTTCTCAATTCTCATTGACCACAGGTAAAGCTCTCCTTACGGTTAGTTGCAACTGCAGCCTTACCTGTGCGAGGCTCCCGCTGCTGTCCGTATGTCTGAGGTCCTCGAGACAAAACTGTTGGTATCACTCATTTAAAAGAACACTTACCATCTACTACTCCGCTTCCATTCTAATACTACTCCCTCCTTCCTTCCCCAGCAGTAATTATTAAAAAAATAACTCCAAACCAGTTATATGAAAGCTAGATACTGTACATGTGATCACAACCAGCATCCTTCTAAGCAACCAACCTTTCATGGTGGATATAAGGCACGTTTGAGCTGCATATATTCAAAACATTAAAGAAAAACTATTAAAAAAAGGGAAGAAAAGCATCCACTCCCATTTATGGAGCACTAATTTGACTTCTAGGAATAAGTTACTCCCACATGAACCTAGTACGCCAACACCATCAGAAATAGCTGCCCATTACAAATAATTAAACCAGCAATCGGCTGTGCAACAGACTCGGCCAAGAGCTAGATCAGAGCATCTGCTTTTCGGTGACATCACACGTTAAAAGGCAAGCACCCAAGCCATTGGCTAGACTTCTGAACTGTCGCTGCCGCCCACGAGGTGTGGTCATCGCGTTGCTGCTGCTGGAGTAGCTGACGGGCGCTTTGCTTTTCCCAGCAGAGGGCTGTTTCCTCTGCTTCAACAAAAACACAGCTACGACCACAGCGCAGATCAGAAACGGCAGTCCTGTCAAGCCTGCAGTAACGGGTGTGATACCGTTTCCACAGTTCCCGCTTGTGATTTCCAGAACTGGCCTGTGATGCGGCACCCCAGCTGGGACCGCGTCTTTCTGGGTGACAACAGCTTTGTCAGAATGGTCAAGTGCAAGATGCTGAATATTCGTGCCTCTGTTTTTATCTGCTCCAATGTCTTGCACGAAGACAGGGGTGTCTGGGCTGGCGCTGCTGCTGCCTTTATAGGCTGCGGTGCTAACTCCTCCTTTAGCAGAGGACAACGCGTGGTTGTAGTGAAGACTTCTTTTGCCGTTGTGCCTGTGTGCATTTTCCTTCGATCGGACAGTGTAAATAGTGTGAATGTACCATTCTCGGCCAGCTGTCGCTTTAAAAGAAAAACAACACACACATAAAACCCCAACAAACCAGAACCACCCCCTCACGCATTTACTATAATCTGGGAAACACCAAGCATCAGATTCATCCAGACAGGTTGGATCATCATGTTGGTTGCATCCCAAGTTTGCTGCCAAACATGCTTCATTAAAGTCAACGGCAGAAATAGGCACTTGGACACAGGATTAATCTTTTCTCAATGCAAACTGCTGAAGTGGGTCAGAAACTATGTTTCAAGAGAGTCTACATCTTTCCAGTGTTAATGCAGAAAGGCTCCTGCATTTACCTAACACAACACTAGTCTTACTTTAGGCAAGAGCAACCTCACTTCAGGAGGCCAAAAAGAGACTTCAGGAATTTGAATTAATCTGCCTTACAGCAGGATGCACAGTTCTCCTCTTTAATTTCATTTTGTATAGAAGCCATTTACCTTTATTTTCTTTTTTCCCAGCTGCAAGACAATCAAGTCTAATCTCCCTGTTTTCTCTCTGTAAAAACGCCCCCATGGTGAGCTAAACCAGCGACCCTGCTCCCAGTCATAGCAAACATGTCTGCAATAACAGCAAGGCTGCAGAAGCGTAGCTCAGCATTACAAAGCAACGCTGTCGTCGTCTCCACACTGTTAAGGAGGGGGAACAAAAGTAAATGCGTTGCTGAAGTCTGTCGCTGACTAACACAGCGCCCATGCTTACCTGCATGCTCTGTTCTCCACCTCAGTTGTCTTCTAGCATGAAAGAATTTCTGCAATGTTTTTATCCGACAGCTTACCTGGAAGAGTGGAGCAGACGACAGGCCGAAGCCACCGGAACCCGGCTGTTTTACTAGAGGAAAAGCATCTGCATGATCAGCCACTAACGTGGCGTGAAACTCCAGGTTTCCAAAGGTTCTTGCTAGCGTCTCAGGTTGAGCTTTATCCTAAAGGAAGTAAGTTCAGTATTTACAGATTCTCGTGAGAATTTTGGGGGTCTAAAAATGCATGCTGCCATAACTCTTCATTTATGTACCAGGATCTTGAATCTGTACAAGAGAGAGGATGAGTCAGCCAGGCATCTGTATTCCCGATTCTCTGGGCTGTGCTTGGGCACGTACCCATCGGCACCGGTGCAAAGGAACACCTTCATGTTGCAGCTGAAGGATTCACCGAGATTCTGAACTGGATCCACCATCACTCGGCCATAGATTTCAGATCCTAGTAAAGCAGATAAACACATTTTTACATTATACCGACCACTTCAAAATTATTAAATCAAGTTATTACCAAACCATTCATTGTTAAAAATTGTCAGGATAGGAATTATCTAGCTTTAAGTGTATTTCCCTCTGCACGTGAGGACAGTATGTTCCCTGGCTGTTACTACTAATTTATCATGGGCTTTAGTCTTATTTTCTGTTACAATTCCTACTGACGTGTGGTTCTTAGAGTGCAGCTCTTCTTAAGCAAGCTGCTCCCTTCTCTTCACTAGAGGGCAACCCATATTCATGTATAAGAAACTACCCAACCTGAGAGCATTATATCAAGCAAAATAAAGTTCTTAAGAGGACCTTTGGGTTTCAGGCTGGTAACTCAAATAAGGGACCAATTAACACCAAAATTATTTCTAGTCCAATACTGCTGTTACCAGGAGTTTCCCCAGAACCTGATAACAGCTCCAGTCAGTGAGTGAGCACAGTGTGTGAGAGCACCGGCCCTGGGCCAGAACTCAAAAAAAATCAAGAATGAGTCCGAGCAGCTTGGCTGAAGCCAGCTGCAGTTACTGTGCATCCAGTCTGCCAGTGAGAACAGCTGCAAGACCACATCAAGGAGCCTCAGGTGTACAAGTATTTGATTCCTGCATTTCTGACCAGAATAACCTAAGCACTGAAATTACTTAGCCCCCTCCAAATGGGGCAAAAAGTTCTAGAATGGGCAGCTTCAAAGCAAAACAGAGTGAGGGCAATACGTGATTATGCAGTAACTGAGCAAGAGTTTTCAGAACCGTGGTTTCAGATATACGCACCTAAATTCTGCATCTACCTTTGGAATGCTTTTCCTCTCAGAGCCGATAAACAGAACCAAAGACTGTTTCAATTACACTAAATCACATCGTATTTTAGTGCTTCTGTATTTTACTTTTCTGTAGTGGAAATACATAGACCACGTAGGGGCTATAAAACTAGTAATATACATATTCAGCTTTTGTTAAAAGCAGTTCTGTTTTAGCTTTCATAACATGCTAAATTTACAATTGACTTTTTACCTTTGGTAAAGG